GGGGGGGGATTCTGTGTTATCTATTTGTTACTGCCTTAGATACTGTTTAAGTTGGATTGTTTCTTGCAATAACTGAACTTGCATGTTTGGAAAATGTTTATAAATAGTTTATATTATAAATAGTTATATAAATGGGTCGTGGATAAGTTGGTTCCACGAAATGTGCGGATGAAAAGTAGCTCGAGTGTTTATAAACATGAACCAAATAAAATTTGCTGAGGAGATTGTGTTTGGTCTTCTCTTTAATATATTCGTCCCTCTTCCGTGCAATTTTCATGTATTGAATGCAAAAAAATTTTTGGTTTGGAAATATAATGATGCTGAAGTACTAATTTAGCTTTTACATTTCTACTACTGCTTGCAGTTGTTGGCTTTGGCATGAAGAAATCACCAAATTCATCCACAAAGTAAGTTGGATGGCATCAATAGTTTTCTTAGAAACATGGATTAGTTTTTTTTCTCGTGTCATTATAGTGTTGTTAGTACTACGCTAAGCTGCCGTTTTGAATGGGCTTAAGTATGTAACTAAGTTCTTTATATGTGGAAGCACAGAGTGACTTAGCTTGCCTTTATGTTGGTTGCTCCATCGAGAAACACTAATATGGGTTGCTCTGCCAATGATTGTCGATACATGATTGCATTACTAATGTTCGCTGCCATGACTTGTGATGCATTCTGTTGAGCAATAGAAGTAAATAGCAACTACTAAAATATTAGGATACTTTTCTATATTTTGGGTGATTTTGCACAACTTTCATTCAGGTAAATAAATGTAGTTGAAATTATGCTTCTATGCTGGCTTATCTCCATTTGCTTCGTTGAGGCATTTCTAAGTTATTAGCATTCTGATTGTGGTCTGCTTTAGTCAGCAAAAGTCTCTGTTTCCTATGTGAAGTATTCACGTGTTCCAATAGTAGGTGTTGAAAAGCTTCCTTTCCAGTGGACAAACATAATTTTGGTTAAATCTAACTTGCAGGTTCTTGACGACTGACGAGGGTCGTTCCAAAGTAAGAAATTCTTTAACACCAGTAGTAGCTCAGTTGGCACTGCAAAAGATTTTACCTTTTCCTTGCAACGAGCAGTACACTGTAGCGATATTAATGCCTCAGGCTTCTCGTTTGAAGTCCCCAAAATCTTTTGTCCGCTCTATGCCAATTCAATATTGTAGAGATGCAAAGGTCAGTGGCTTTATCTTGTTATCTTCCAGCATTTTCTTTTTGTACTTGCATAAAATTGATGAGAAACTGGAAAGGAAGGATCAACTCATTTGTACAATTGCCACTGATAAACTGATCATGACTAGTTTGCATTACTGTATGGAGTCTTATGGTTTGCATTACTTGTGGTTTTCTCCTATGAGATTCTGTTTCTCTTCGCAATTTCATTTTGAATTTACCTGTGTTCGAATTCTCCAATCTCTTAAATCGTTATTTCTCTTGGTGCAGATTTTTGCTGCCATTGCCGATTTTGCCATTTTAGCTCTTAGTTTATGGAAACGCTCACGAAGTGCACTGAAATCCTTTTGATGCCATCTTTTGGGATGGGGATAATAATCTGAGAAGGAAAGAATTTGACGTGAACTAGAATAGCATTTGATATTGAGACTCAGAGGAGCGAACTTGATTCATGTTCCTTTGTAGATAGCTGAAACCCGAGTTGTACGTGTTATTCTATATATTCATGGAGTCGAGATCTCTAAATTGTAACAGTATTCTTCCTTGTAGCCAAACATGAAAGACACGCTACTCTATTCTTCAGATAGTTTCGCAAACTTGAGTTAATACGATAGGATTGTAAAGAACAGTTAGGGCCCTCAAAGCCAATAGCGGCCGGACGTGTTGTCTTTGGCAATTGATTGCTATTTTAAGAAGGCATTTGGACATCTTTAGTTTGATATGCAGTACTAAATATTCTGATAGACCATAGTTTTAACTTCGTTTTCGTCCAAATTTAATAATATATTGCCTAGTGCAGCTCATCTAACTAAACAAATTGGTGAGATAGATATGCTGCAAATTGTGGTTTTACTTGATTGGAAACAATAATATAAGTGATTTTGACCTTCCTAAAAAGTTGCTTATGAGTGATTTTCAAAAGTGATTACATATTTGTAATTTTAACCAACTAAAAAATCACATTTTTATTCAAGCTTCGAAAGGCCTTTAGACGCCGCATGCAAATATATTTGGGCAAAGAAGAATGACTTTTCAATTGATGATCTTAATTTCTCGAAACAACGAAATATTGTATTCAATACGTTTCACTGTGAATAAATAAAAAAAATGTTACTAGAAAAGTAAATTAACCCTAAAAATAGTTTTTATTTGTATTTTTTTTTTTAAATTGAAAGCTAAGATTTGCCCCTTTTTAAAATTTAATTCAAGGCATATGGAAAATTTCGTTTCTTTTTCCTCTCTGATTCGTGTTCAAGTGCCGTAACTTACAATAAAGAAATTTATCTTCCGTTTGAAACTTAAGACAATCAATTTGCTTAGGCAAATTAATTTTCGTAAATCAACATAAAATATAAACTCAAATCTTCTTGCAAGACCCACGTAGATGAGGAAAAATTTCCAAAATTGCTTCGAAGTAAAATCAAATCCTCGTGTCAACGCTTTCCTAAACCAGAATCGAGGAGAGTTAGAGGAAAAGGTGATCAAAACATCCCATACCCCTTTCCTGAGAGATGGAAATACAACCAGAAAAGATAAAAATTCAACCAGAAAAGATAGAGTTAAACATAAGTTTCTTAGTAAGAAATAATGTTTATCTTATTCCCTTCTTTTCCTAATTATTTTGGATTTTCTCATGGCATTGTCACGTATTAATTTAAAAGCAATAATTTTCGTGCAAGTGTATGGGCTGGATGCGTAGACAAAAAAATGAGACATGATAAAAAGGTATATATAGTAAAATTGCAAATTTTTGGTGTAAATTTTATGAAATTCAAAACTGATAGCTAAAATCGATATGATAAATATTGTCGTGTTTTTATGTCAAAATTATACGTAGTGTATTTAATATTGTGAAAAATATGCTATTTCTAACTTCTGTCAGCGTCACTATTGTATTGACAATGGTTCACAATAGCAGGGAAAGACAACTATTACTGCTTGATTTTCGTATATATTGTGTATATTTAAATGAATGTGGCGAAACTAGTTGTATATGTATTCAATATTGTTATATTGTATTTTATGTTTTATTATGAGAATATTTTTAATAAAAAGTCCATGATCCTCATAGGACTATTTTTCTCGTTATTAATAAAACGCGTCACCTTATGTGGTAGATTTATGAAAAAATATTGTACAATAGCATTTCTTAGTACATTTGCTAGTATTTTTATCTGAAGTTAAAGATGGTCAAAAAATGGTCTGCTAAGAAGATACACCAACTGCAAGTATGTAAAGTGGGTTGATCTAATTCATCCAAAGGTCGACTTGGTACTTAAGCAATGATTGGCACTACTGGCTCATGGCAAGGCTTAGCCCATGGCTTGCCAAGCCTGAATGGTCAACCTTGAAGTTGGAGAAAATTGTCCACCTTGACATCTCTAGCAAAGTATAAGCAAAACGCACAAATAAAATGTATACTTACCGCTTAAAATAGTGAAAGAAATAGTAAAATAATAGTATAGTTTGCAAGACCCTTGATTGATGCAACCTAAATCGTTGCGTGCTTCCCAAGTGGCCCATTTATTTGTATTAATTATGCATAAGAAGAAGGAAATATCTTTTGCATGGCAATGCAACACTGGAAATTTTATTCTATTTTGGTGAATTTTATCAAGAAAATCAGAATAACAGTTCACTCTTCCTTCTATTTTATTTATTTATTTATTTTTTGGGCCCATTTTACTAGTAACAGTTATTCCCGTTCTTTAATATAACAACAAAAAATAAAACTTGGTTCTCAAAAAATTTAAAGTCAACTGCATAACTTGCAAGATCTACCCTTTCTTATTTAAGAGGTTACTGGAGATCACATAAAAGCAAATGAAACTACTAATTTGTGGTATTGCAGTTTTACTAGTACAGACCATTTTGCAAGAGA